GTTTCCATCTTTTTGCTATTGTGAACAGTGCTGCAATGAATATGGGTGTGCATATGGCTATTCGTGTGACAGCTCTTATTTCTCTAGGATTTATTCCTAGGAGTGGGATTGCATCTTGTGCTTTTTTTTTGTGTGGTGCTGATGTTTTCTTTGTTCCCCTTACTCTCCTGTGCTGAGTTCCTTCTGTTTGTGGATTTTTATTTCATTTCTTTTGTTTTTTAGGTTTTGTTTTTACTGAGACTTTATGTTTTTCTTCTTTATTCTGATGAGTAGGTTTGTTAACTTTCTTTGTGCTTACCTTGAAATTTACCCTTATCGTCCTAGATTCGAACCGGTCTATTATTACTTGGTATCGCTTGACTTATTCTCCATTAGAAGGTTCTATACCTACACCATTTATCCCCTCTTTTATTGTTCTGATGCTGTTGTCATTTACAGATTAACCTCTTTGGTTCTTTCGGATCATTTTAAAGGTGCAGACCTCTAAGCACTCTTCTATGAGCTACGAAATCAAAAGCACAAGGGGGTAACCAGCACACTGGATGTTTGACATGCTGCCCACAAGTTTTATACACACTCAAGTTCTGGAACCACCATCAACTCAGGCAGATCATTTGAACAAAGAGGAAGGTCAAAGTCCAGATGCCACACTATGAAGCTCTTCAGTTCTGAATCAACAAAGCCCACAATCATTCCCATAAAAAAGGGAAGGGAAACTCAGTCTAGAAAGGCAGGGGCTCTCAAAAGACCCACAATGGAAAATGAAAAGCCATCCCAGGGCAGGTCCTGACTTCCACCTCACCCAGGCAGACCAGGTTCCTGTGGTTCATCAACATTATGCCCCTTTACAAAGCCCTCTGAGCAGGACACAAGTGCACCCACTCCTTCTGGGGACAAATCTTTGTATATCAATGGTAGCTAACATGAAATACACATTTCTCCAACAGTCTACAGTGTGGTGGCGGTGGTGGTGGAGGATTGTTCTTATTTTTACACAATATGAGGGGAGACAAGAGGCATATGAATCAGTTTTGATTGAGGTAAGGGTATGGCTGGGTCCATATAAGATAATTTTCAGCAAGTTATACATCCCTAATTTTAATCTATGATTAAAGCATAGAAACTAAAGTTTATTAGTTACCACCAGGGACTCAGGGGAGGAGAGAATGGGGAGTTATTGCTTAAGGGGTACCGAGGATATGAGATCCACTGCGGATTTTATATTTTTGCGGATGATAAAAGAAATACACAAATGAAAAAAACAATTCAACAAGTGGTTTTCTTTAAACAAGTGAAAAATATTATGTTCCATCCACCAAGCAATGTATAATTTTTCAGAAGAACCTGAGAAACAATCCATCCCATTATGGATGACAAAGAGTCAACAAGAGGCTTTAAAGAACCTTGTGATCATAACAGAAAGGATCTCTTCTAACTTGAGAGAGAAACAAAACTATGTTACAGACTCTAACTTGCCTTGGGTCAAACATCTTAATAAATGGCAGAATGTAGGTGGTTGGGTTCTAGAACTAAACCCAAAGAATCAAAAAGGCAAGTAAAATAGACACCACTGAAAGGACATTGGCTGAGGGTTTCCTAACTGAGAAAACTTGAAATCAACAACAAAGAATGTTAAAAGGTCATTACATAGGTACATACATATACATATTTACTTTTTTTACTACTATTAACATGATGATGTTGTTGTTGTTAGGTGCAGTCAAGTTGATTCTGACTCCAAGCAACCCCATATGACACAGCAGAACTGCTCCATAAGGTTTTCTATGCTGTAATCTTTAGGGAAGCAGATTGCCAGGTCTTTCTCCCACAGAGTAGCTATGTGGGTTAAACCACCAATTTTTCGGTTAGCAGCTGAGCTCTTAACCATACCACCATCAGGTTTCCTTATTAACATGATAGTGTAAACATATTTAAGGCCATGGGAGAAATATGTAAAACTAATCCATGAAGTGATAAAATGGCTTTTATAGAAACCTATGGTGTACACACACCAACAGTATAGTTCACCAAACTGAGAGCAGTTGTCTTTAAATGATGAATTTTCTGGCTGGATTTTCATTATCATTTTCTGTTCATGTTTTTCAGTATTTTAGTACGATAGACATATTTAAAGTCTACTTCTGTAGTAAAGAATTAGATCTCACCTAAAGAGAGCTCCACAGCAGCTGGGTGGCACAAACAGCTAAATGCTCAACTACTAGCCAAAAGGTTGTCGATTTGAACCCACCCAAAGATGCCACAAAAGACAGGCCTGGCGATCTGCTTATGAAAGGTCATAGCCTTGAACAGTTCTATTCTGCACACATGTGGTCACCATGAGTCAGAATGGACACAATGGCAACTGTCTTAGGCTGGGTTCTCTAGAGAAGCAAAACCAGTAAAGTGTATAAATATATATATAGAGATTTATATCAAGGAAATAGCTCATGCAATTGTAGAGGCTAAAACATCCCAAGTCCACAGATCAGGGTAGAGGCCTCTCCCAGTTCACGTAGCCACAGAAGCTGGTGAACTCAAGGTCAGCAGGTGAGAGAGGCGCTCCTGCTCACAGGCTGTGAAGGTCAATGAATTCCAAGATCAGCAGACAAGACTGCAAGGCTTCTCCTGATTCATGCAGCTGCAGGGGCTGGCGAACCCAAGGTCAGCAGGCTGGGGAACCGGACTCTTGCTCGCAGGCTGAGAAGTTCGACAAATTCCAAGATCAAACAGGTAAGCTGCTAACTCAAGTCCCATGAACCAGAGGTGAGACAACAAGAGGCAGCTGCTGAGTCTAGAACAAGCCAAAAACCTTGGCAAGGTGAGCAGGCAGGAAGTAACCAGTGGAAGGCAGAGAGATGAAACTGAGAGGGCGGTGAGCTGCCACAGGCCCCGCCTCCGCCAGTACCACTCAGCAGATTCCAACATGGGGGTGATCACAACATTATACAACTACTAAAACACTGAGAATAATGATCTAGCCAAGTTGACACACAATCTTAACCATCACAGCAACTAACAAAAACCCCAGAGAGTTCTGGCCTTTGTCCCAGCTCCTGGGAGGTAACCTCTAAACTGCTGGAATTTCCAGAGTGATAGGACTGCCTTTGTGATTCGTGGTGTGCCCCTTGGTCCTCACCTGATAGTTTACACTAAAGGGGTGACACAGAGTGGTAGCTGGTCATGCCAGAAAGACCCACCATGTGAGTAAAGAGCTGGAGCTTGTATTAATATTAGACAAATATGAAGAGGTAAATGAGAGCCCACTGCAGGAGGAAACACACAGCCACCCAGAGGGGGTCAGCTGGTGAGAGACCACCTATGTGGAAATTAGGTGGGGGGTTTCTTTTGTTACACAAACCTGCAGTTTAAAATTCAACACCCAAAACTCAGAGCTGTTTGTCATTCACAGGGGCTAAAGGTAAGCATACTTGAAGACCAAACACAGATTCGAAGGAGTCCTGAAGAAGCGGAGAATCACAGACAGCATGAACACACCTGAGCTCAGCCTTTAATAGGGTACAAGGGGAGGAGCACACTTTATTTCCTGAGCTTAGTGGCTAATTTAAAAGCGTAGTGGTTAAGAGTTCACCTACTAACCAAGAGGTCAGCAGGTCGATTCCACCAGGTGTTCCTTGGAAACCCTATGGGGCAGTTCTACTCTATATCACATGGGGTTGCCATAAGACAGAATTAACTTGATGGCAATTAACAAAAGGGAAAATTAAACATCAAGATAGGATATTCATGTCTATGTACATAAAAATGTATGTTGGAAACATGACTAAATAGAAACATTCAAATTCAAAGAAAAATTGATTAATCATGAAGCTTGAAGAGGAACAAAAACAATTCCCACTGAAATCACCATGTCTATAATGCAATAAAATGTAAGCATGCTGAGGATTTAGTATATGTAAATTAGTGAATAAGGAGCCCTGGTGATGGAAAAAGGAACCCTGGTGGCCCAGGGTTAAACCCTCAGCTGCTAAAGGAAAGGTTGGTGGTTTGAACCCAAGACCTGGTGATCTGCTCTCATAAAGACCACAGCCTAGAAAAACCTATGGGGCAGTTATACCCTGTCACATGGTATCACTACCAGTCACAATCAACTCCAGGGCACCTAACAACAACAAATTAGTGAATACAAATTAAACCTTTATCAAAGACACTTGGATACACTGATCAAACATTCATTAAACATGATCATGTTTTGAGTCATAAAGAAAATGTCAGCTAATGCCAAATAAGACAGTATCTTACTGTATTTAAAAAATCTCCTACTACTGGATATTACGTTGTCTTAAATTAGAAACAGAGCTGTAAAACAATTTCAAAAAAATAAAATAAGAGAGATATTAGGTAGGCCACTGTTCTTGCATAGTGACATCAAAATGAAAGTAAACAAAAATCAGAAATGGAATCAAAACCAAACAAATCAAAAAGGAAAAGATAGTTTGTATACTTAGACTCTGATTACAGGAAAAGTTATATAACTTATGGGACAATTGGTAAATGACCAATTTAGAGTCACCCTCACCATGAAGAATCAAAGTAGTCAAAAGCAGGGAACGTGGTCAAAGCAGTGATATTGAAATAAACGTATCTTTACAAACATAGTATTAAAAAACGAAAAAAAAAAAAAAACTATTGCCCTCCTGCGGCCATGGTGCGCGGCCGGCGCCGCCCTGAGAGCCCAGGGGACAGGGCGGGGGACGCAGGTGAGAAGCCCCCGCGGGGCCTTTCGGGGCCCGCGGTGAAGAAGGGTCGACGGAGGGCTCTGACAGGAAAGGGGGTGCGCGGGTCCCCAGGCCGGAGGCGGGAAGGCCGGACGGACCCGCTCGGAGCTGCTTTAACGGAAACGGAGGCGGATCTGGGACGACAGCGGGGCGGGTGCAGGGACTTGAACGTCCGCAGGGACCCCCGGACCCCGAGCGGGGAGGACGCGGAGGTGAAGGGGGCGCGAAGCGCGGGTTTGAACTACAAAGACGACACCCACTCACCCTCGTGAGTCTGCCCCCGGGAGCGTGCTGCTAGGTGTCGACAGGAAATGGCGCAGGGGACGGGGCTGTGCGCGGATGGGGTTGGCTGTGGGGGGGGACAGGGCGGGGCAGAGGCCGGGCTTTGCTGGGGGTGGGGGAGACAGGGTGGGGCTCTGCAGAGGGCTGGGGGGGCTGTGCAGGGGGCGGGGGGGGGGCCTCAGATGACAAGGAGCAGAGTATGGAGTGGGGGAGGTTGGGCCTGAGATTCCCCGTCTCTCCATCCCTCCACCTCGGCTCTCAAGCTTCTTTCTTTCCAACAGAACTTGATTCTCCTCCTTTTGAACCATTTCAAAGTCTTTGGGGTCCTGAGGACTAGTTCTGCTTTTCTTAACTTTTCAAACAATTTAAGGAAAAGAGGAGAGTGTGTAGGTCACGTATATTGGAAGGTGGGATGTTTTATTCCTACTATGTGGTGGTTGTTTTTCCCCTGGAGTCTATTTCCACCTCACAGCGAACCTATAGGACACTAAAAAAAAAAACAAAAAAACAAAACAAAACAACAAATAAACCCGATGCCGTCGAGTTGATTCCAATCCATAGTGACCCTATAGGACAGTGTAGAATGACCCCACAGGGTTTCCGTGGAGCCGCTGGTGGATTCAAACTGGCGATCTTTTGGTTAGCAGCCGAGCTGTTCGGGTTTCCTAGACTGTAAGCAAAGATGTCACTTTGCAGACTAAAGCGCACCTGAGGAAGCCAAGGTATTTTCAATCGCCTCATACGCATGCGAAAGCTGGACAATGAATAAGGAGGACCAAAGAATTGATGCTTTTGAATTAATGGTGTTGGTGAAGAACATTGACTATATCATGGATTGCCGGAAGAACAAACAAATCTGTCTTGGAAGAGGCACAGCCAGAATGCTCTTTAGAAGCTAAGTTGGCAAGACTTGGTCTCAGGTACTTTGCACATGTTGTCAGGAGGGACCAGTTGCTGGAGAAAGATATCATGCTTTGTAAAGTAGAAGGTCAGCAAAAAAGAGGTAGACTCTCAATGAGGTGGACTGACACAGTGGATGCAACAACGGGCTCAAACATAGCAACTATTGTGAGGGTGGCACAGGACTGGGCACTGTTTCGTTCTGTTATACGTAAGGTCATTAGGAGTCGGAACCGACTCGATGGCACCAAACCACAACAACAATAATCTTTAAGGGAGCAGATTACCAGGTCTTCCCCCCACACCAGCCTCTGGATGGGTTTGATCCACCAGCTTTTCAGTTAGCAGCCGAACGTTTAACCAGGAGCCACCAGGGCTCCTTAAAGTTTAGTTTGCCCTTTATCCCATCTAGGCTTGCTGCCCCCTTGGGATCAGGGTACTGTGTGTTTGCATTCTTTATTACCATCTATGATTGTTCAGGAGCCCTGGTGGCACAGTGGTTAAGTGTTCAGCTGCTCACCAAAAGGTCAGCAGTTTGAATCCACCAGCCTCTCCTTGGAAACACTATGGGGCACTTCTACTCTGTCCTATAGGATCACTCTGAGTCAGAATTGGAAACCCTGGTTGCATAGTGGTTAAGAGCTACAGCTGCTGACCAAAAGGTCGGCAGTTTGAATCCACCAGGTGCTCCTTGGAAACTCTATGGGGCAGTTCTACTCTGTATTATAGGGTTGCTGTGAGTTGGCATCCACTCGATGGCAGCAGGATTTTGTTTTTTGAGTCACAGTCAACTCAACCGCAACCAGTTTGGTTTTTGGTTTTTTCATGATTGTTCAAGAGTGAGCTGTGGGTCCTGTGTCAACCAAAACATTCTCCACCATTTCACAATACAGGTACTCCACGACTTAAAACAAGGTTACATTCTGAAGACTCCATTATAGGTCATTTCTGATGTAAGTGGAATACCTTTTTTTTTAAGTTCTCGTTATTATTGCCTTTTATTATCAGTGTCTTTATAACACGATCTTTGTCAGCATCAGTGTCAAAACAATGAAGTCAGAGTCCTAATGACTGTCTAGTGTAATTCATTAGAGTTGAACATTGCCCAACATTCTATCTGTTACGACTCCCTACACCCACACCGACAGATTTCATTGTAGACCAGGCCACAACCTGCTGCTATACAGCAGTGTTTTGATCAGTAAATCATAACATTGAAAATCTGCAAGTGAACATCTGAGAATGATAACATCAGCATATAACATGCTAAGACACTATATGGCGTACATATTACTAACAATAAGATGTACAAAAAAAAAAAAAAGACAGTAATAAGTGCGGTTCATCGTCACTTGAATCCTAAGTCAGGGACTACCTGTATTCTAAATCAGTGAAACTGATCCTAACGTAGCCACTCTTTCAACCTATCTTAATAAGGTTCCTCAAGAAGCTAATGTTAGGAATTCACAAAATAAGATTTGGGACTATCACCCCAGGCAATAGGAAGTCAGGTTTCTCACTGTGATATTTGTCCTGAACCTCTCTAAATCCCTCCTCACTACGGAGAACAAAGCAGATTTGCTTAGAGTCCTTCAATATTGAGGAACAACCGCCCAACTTGTGAGGGTGCTGCACTAAGAAAAACTTGTTGAGCCCATCGATACTCATTTTACTCCTCCCCTTTCTTAATAACTAGTTAAAGATCTCCACCCTGCTGGGGTGAACTCCTTTTTCTTCCCTTTCTCTTTCCCCTTGTTTTGCCCATTCTCTTATGAATCATTCCAATCTCCTGTCTTATCAGTTGTTTCAGTATTTGGAAGTAGCTCTGAGGCTAGTGGCTGCAGCTCAGGCTGGACATAATCTGAGCTTGGCACAGTGTCAGAATCTGCCCCAGCACATTCCTTTGTAGGGACCCAGAGGATAGACGGTAGGGTCGGTCAATTAAAGCTTGACCCAGTATCAGGATTCACCTCAAAGCTTTCGTTTACTTTCATAAAAATTTACCCATTGGTAGGGCCCCTCAGGTTAGAGGCTGTAGCTCAGATCAGCCTGATCCAAGCTTGGCTAAGCATCAGGGTCAAGATCATTGGCAAGACTAAACAGAACTCCTCCTGCCTTTGAAACTCTCCCATGAAGCAAGAATAACGAAGACATTGAATCATCCTAACATATTTATTTGAAGAGATCAAGACTGAGAAAACTCTACTTTTTATATGGAGTACATAATGGGGACCAGTTCTTGATTACCTAGTGACTCATGGAGACGTGAAAGAAAAAGTGACCCAAGCTAGATTCTGCCAGTGGCTGCCGTGCAGTCCTGTCACCAGAAGTTTAGTGAGCATGGAGAGTTAAAAGCAGAAAACTTACTCTTGGATGCTGTTATGACATCAAGACTGCAGATGTGGTCTTCAGCAAGGAATTCACCTTTGGCAAAAAGCTGGATACCTTTTGTAGCAGTCCCCATCATTCCATCACAGAACTCTTCCAGGGCTAAAAGTACAATGAAACCACAGTGGATATATGGAGCATGGGAGTCATTGTATATACACTTGTCAGCAGATGCCCGTCTTCATAGAACTTCAAGTAGCTGCAGGAGCTGTTGCTGACTGGATAATATCATGTTCCCTTCTATATGTTCATGGAGTGTGAAAATCTGCTCCAGAAATGTCTTATCCTTACTCCCAGTAAGAGAAGTACTTCAAAGCAAATCATGAAAGTTCCATGGATGAACGTGTGTCATAAAGATTATGAACTAAAGCCTTACATGGAGCTACTCACTGACTACAAAGACTCTGGCAACCTGAGTCGATGGTGTCCATGGGTTACACATGGAAGAGATATGGGCCTCACTGATGGACCAGAGCTCAAACTGCTAGCTCCCTATCTCACCCAGAGGAGAAGAAGACCAGCCCTGTGCACAGCAAGAGTTCTCAACCAGCACAAATCAAAGCAAGAATGTCCTTATTTGGAGGCCAACTTTGGCCAGACCTCCATCTAGAATAGCAAATACAACCTAACTGTGAGAGAGTCTAGGACCTCCAGGGCTTCTGCCTCAGACTCCCCAGCCCTGCTTTTCCTGCACCAGGAATCCAGCCTGGCCCCAGTGCAGCCACCCGGGTCTCTGGGTTGTGCCCCACAAAGAGTATAAGGTGTAGCATCCCAGAAGCCCAGAAGTCTAGCATGTCTCTATGGCTTCCTCCTCAGCCCGCCACATCACTACACTGGTGGAGGGAACCCCAGGCGGAACCAATTTCCCCCAGGATGTGTCCGATAGAAACTGCATGCATGCTGGGCACCTTGACAGGTGTGTGACCAGCAGAATTTTCCCTATGGTGTGATCCCAACCTCTCCCTCTGAAATGACCCAGGGAAGGTTCTTCAAGTTTAAGAAGAAATCTGTCTTCAGCTGTGCCAGAAGGAACCTGAATGAACTTGAATGTAAGGACTGATGCTGAAACCTCCAGAGGCCAAGCCATGTTCCCCAAACTTCACTTGAGGATGAAGATCACCTCCCAATCCCTTCTGCTGTGCATGGCTGGCAAGCAGGGCCAGGAGGACTTCATATAGCAGAGGGCAGAAACATGCAAAGTCCTTGGGCAGTCTCTCAATGGGGTTCAACCAAAGAGGATACCTGGCACCTCCATGGCCTTCGACATCATTGCCTCCAAAACAACCAAGGAACTTAAGCTTTAAAGGCTGCCAGAAGTCACCTGGGAGAATACAACAGAGGCTGGTCAGCCCTTGCTGCCAACCAGCCACTTTGCCTCCACTTCGGCCAAACTGCTCAGACTGGACGGGTGTGTTTCCTCTGGGGAACTTCTTCACTCCTTTCCCTTCTCTATCTCTTCTAACTTGTCTGTGGGGGAGGGGAGATGGCTCTGTAGAAATATGCAAAGACAATCCAAATGAGAACAAACAGAAGCTATTTATTCAAAGCTTGCTATAGCAAGGGCGTCAGCCACCACTGATGCATTTGGCAGAGACCCCAAGGCGAGCAGGGATTGGGAAAGCTTTGTAGTGAAAGAATGGAAAGGCTCCAGGTGTGCTCTGGCCTTCTTAACTTCCCCACTCCATGGAGACAGTGGAGACGGCTCTATGGGGTTTCCCAGGAGGGTGGCTTAGAGCTGGAACACTCAGTCCAGGGTGATGGAGTTCCCTGTCAGGCCCTCCCCAAGTCAACGTCAGCTTCTACCTTCTCTTCCTCTCTTTCCTTCCAAGCAAACCACCAGAGGTGGCCTTCCCCTCAGGTTTCTGGACTGGGGACCTGGGCAGCTGTGGACTGGTCAAGGTACAGCCCTGAGCAGGTGGGGCTCGTGGCTGCTCTGGGGCTGCTCACCTGAGGGGGAAGAGCTCTGAACTCCCTCCACACTGACACCTCTGCCTTCTTTCCATCCCCAGAGCTGAGCATTTTCTTCCACAAGCTGTTGTGTAAGGGGTATTTGTCCCCTTCCTCAAGAGTCTCTGCCATCACCTCCCCACAGTCCTCCTGGGTAGAAGAGGGGCCTGATGCATGGGTGGTAGTAGGGAGGGGACTCTGGGGCCTAATGGCTCCTCCAGCTCCCAGGGCGCAGATTGGGCTACTCCACTCCCCAGTGACAGGGGCAGTGAGCATTCTCTGTTTTAGGAGAGCCTTTGTCTGAAAGCCCCACCCCGTCCACTCCTCTCGACATGCCTTGCCCTTCCTTGGCATTGATCTGGGCCCCTTGCACAGCAGTGACTTCCTCCCTCCCCCACCCAGTGTGTGATCTCTTGGTCCTCCTTTCCTTGCCTTCCTGACACTATTGCCCCTTGGCTTGCTAACATCATCCTGCTTGGTGCCAGAGGGGTGGTGATGGGCGCTTGACTTGTGGTGGTTGCCACATTTCATACTTTATTTCTTGAGAAATTGGGGTAGGGAGTCATACACAGAAGTTGTCTCTACTCTCACCTGGGCTGTTGTTTTTTTATGACAGGGTTATAGTTTTTATTTTTTAAGTTAATGACAATTCATGCCTGTTCATCATCACCTTCTCTTCTCCCTCCCCTCCGCAGCAGATGGAGCCCTTGGGTCCCAGAAGGACTCATGGAAATCATCCCTGACTCAGTGGAGTCTCTGGTCGGGCTGTTCAGGAGGACCATGAGGAGGCTTGAGGAGGCCGGACATCCGGAGACACCCAGGACAGGAAGGGGCGAAGGGGCCTTGGTCCTCCCTTTCCACTAGGCCTTCCTGACCCCTCCCAAGAGCCCCCGACCTCCCACGGTCCTGCTCTTTTGCTCTGTAGTTTTCTCTGCGTTACAGGCATTAATCTCTAATATCACTTCTCCAGAAGCCCGTTGCCATGGTACCCGGAAAATGATGCGAAGCAAAGCTCGGAGGAGCCAAGCTCTCTGTGCCTAGGGCTCCCCTCAGTCTCACCACACCCCAGAGCTTCAGTGTGGAAAGGGTGCTTAGTAACCACCTGATCATTCCTCATTTTACAGGTGGGGAAACAGGCTCAGAGAGGTGAAGGAACCTACCTAAGGTCCTACAGCTGGTGAGGGGCCGGTCGGGAGGGAAGCCCAGGCCTGCCTGACAGACCGTGGGATCCAGCACAGGGCTGGTGCTCAGGGACGCGCCACGGTAGGGCACCAAGCTTTCTCGCCCGAGGCAGGGAAGCGGGAGGGGCGAGACGAGTCATCGGTTCTGTCGGGTCTCAGCCTCTGAGCTGGTAGTGGAGGGAGCACTGAACTGGGAGTCTGGAGTCCCATGTCTACTCTAAGCCGACTACTGACCGCTAAGTCCCTTCATACAAAGCTTTCTCCCTTCCTGCTCTAGTGTGCTCTGCTTCGTCCCCAAAGGCGGACAGTCGTGCTGGTCACAACTCCCTGGTTTGCCCCCATCATCTGGGACGGGACCTTTGACTGTGCCATCCTGGACATGCAGTTCAGAAACACCACCACGCGGCTGACTGTGTTTGCCATCAAAAAGTAAGTCCACGGGTGGTGGATGAGGAAAAGGGAGAACTAGGAAGGGTCCTGGAGTGGGTGGGAGGGTCCTTCCTGCTGCCCTTTTCCAGTCCAGGTGCTGGCTCACCACGGAGGGAGGAGGCAGAGCGGCTCTGCAGTAGGTGGACATGCTGGGATCTCCACGGCCCCAGGTAGGCCCTTGCTCAAACAGCAGCCCCTCTGTCCGAAGTGACCAGGCAGCTTCCTCTGCAGCGACATGAGGCCAACGACACTTAGGTGTCCCAGTCTGCATGCTGGGAGCTTCATCTAAGCACAGCCAGTAAGGGGTGCTCCATGCCCCATCCTATCTGGGAGACAAACTGAGTCTTAGCCAGATATCAGAACCAAACCAGTTGTCCTCCCATCAATTCCAACTCATGGTGACCTTTCTTAAGGCCTGGCGATCTACTTAGAAAAAAAGATCAAGTGCCTCTGGATGGACTCAAATCTCCAACCATTCAGTTAGCAGTCAAGTACGTTAACAATTGCACCACCCAGGGACTCTGACCACAGCACACTTTCTCCTAAATATGTCCGTGTGCAAATCATTAACTACAATTCAGTGTGCGTTTACAGTGTTCCTTCTCTGAAAGTTAAATGTACAATGAAGAGCAATGTCTTAATTCTATGTTTGCTGAGTTTTGATAAATACATATAACTGTATCAGAAATCCCTATCAACTCATAGGAAATCACCATCACCCCCAGAAAGTTCCCTCATGCCCCTTCCCATTAGGCCCCTGCCCCTACTTCCTCAACTACTGTTCTGATTTTTCTCCACCATGAGATGGTTTTTAACCTACTGGGATCATAAAGCCTGTCCTCTCTTGTGTTAGCCTTTTCTCGCTTAGCAGAATTATTTTGAGATTCATCATGATTTTGCCTGTATCAGTAGCACTTACTTTTTTTCTGCTGAGTAGTATCCCATTGTGTGGTATACTACAGCTTGTTTATCCATTCCCCTTTTGATGGACACCTGGGTTTTTTCCAGTTTTGGCTATTATGAGTAAAGCCTCTATGAGTGTTGTTGGACAAGTCCTTTGTGTGGGCATGTGATATATTTTTTCTTGGTTAAAGACTTAGGAGTGGAATTGCTCAGTCAAAGATTACATGTGTGTTTAGTTTTATTAAAACAAAACAAAACAAAACAAAAACCATTGCCAGGCCTTTTTCCAAGTTGACTGTAGCGTTTTACATTCCCACCATTAATACCTGGGAATTGTAGTTGCTCACATGCTTACCAACGTTGATGACATGAGTTGCCTACTTGTATACTTGGGTCTTTGTACACGTGTGTGAGTAGGCCTGTGGGGTATATGCCTGGAAGTGGAGTTGAGGGAAGGATATGTACACTCTAGATCTAGATAGAGTTTCTCACAGTGGCCTCCAAAAGGGTTAAACGATTGACATTCCCACTAGCAGGGCATGAGAGTTCTTCATCCCCGCATCCTCAACCACACGGAATTCTTCACTTACTTGTTTAAAACATATTTATTAAACAGCCATTATGCGCCAGATGATGGGGAGAAGGCAGTCAACAAAACACAAGTCCCTGCTCTCATGCAGCTATATTCTAGCGCAAGAAAACAGAAGAACAAGTAAACACAAATACAGAACACACCAGAGGGTGATATGGGCTTTAAAAACATAACAAAGGCTAGATAACGAGATACAGAGTGATTTGTGTTAGTATTTATTTAAGTGTGTGTCTGTTTGCTCTTTTTTCTTTTTTATTGAGTTATAGTTTCCACATAGGGAAATACACACATCTCAGCACGAGAACTTGCTGAATTGTCACATCTGCACGTTTCTGCGTGAGCACCTGCAGAGGGAGCTATAGAGCACCTGCAGCCCAGGGCTTGAATCAGCAGGTCTTCTCTTGGTGAACTGATTGTGAGCAGAGGAATGAAAGCTGTAGGGGTGAGTATTGCAGGGAATGGCTTCCAGGCAGGGGGAACAGGAAGTGCAAAGGCCCTGGAGCATGTGTAGCATGTGTCCGGATCATGAAGGAGTTGGCTGCCCAGAGCAGAGGGATGGAGGAGAAGGGGAAAGAGGTCAGAGCCAACCTTGTAGGACCTGGTAGACCCCTATAGGGCCTCAAATGGCTTTTTTTCTTTTCTTTTCTTGAGACACAAAGCTGTTGGAGGGTCTAGAGCTTTGGAGTAACATTAGATATTAACAACTTTTTGAACCTTTGCAAACCTTATGGATAAATGAAATATCTTGTTCTTGTGAATATTCTTTTCATTTTTTGAAATTGTACTTTAGATGAATGTTTAACAGAACAAATAGTTTCTCATTAACCAGTCAGTACACATGTTGTTTTATGACATTGGTAAACAACCCCGTGACATGTCAACACTCTCCCTTCTTGACCTTGGAGGACCTTTTTTTGGTGAAAATATACAGAGCCAAAGTTACACCATTTCAAAAATTTCTACATGTACAATTCAGTGACATTGATTACATTCTTCCCGTTGTGCTGCTATTCTCACTATCCTTTTCCAAATTATTCCATCACTATTATCTTCAACTCACTGCCCCCTAGACTTCCCATAAAACCTTTTGAGTTGCTGTTGTCAATTTGATCTCACATAGATAAATCTTTTTTTTTTTGTACCTTAGATGAAGGTCTGCAGAACAAATAGTTTCTCATTAAACAGTTAGTACACATATTGCCCTATGACAATGGTTAACAACCCCACGACATGTCAACCCTGTCCCTTCTCAACCT